GTGCTCGTTACCACAATAATAACGTAGTTACTGTAACGCGTTACTTAATAACGCGTTAGTCCCAACACTGGTCTTCAGTAGAAGGGTGGCTGCCAAGAAGCCATTTTTGGCATCATGGTGATCCACACCATAAAACAGAGTGGAGGCTCTGTTATGGTTACGGGCTCCTTTTTAACCAGCACTGTTGAGAATCTATCGATGGAATTATGAATACAGAAAAGGATCAACAGTGTTGGATCATGTGATACCGTTTGGCTTGACTTTTCGGCATGAAAATGATCCAGAGCAAACTGCCAATATAGTAAAAGCATATCAGGATAGAAAGCATACAATGGGACACTATCAGTCATGGATTGGTCTCCCCGGAGCACAGAACTCAACATTACCTAAGTAGCGTGAGATCACCATGACAGAGAACAGAAGAAAAAGCAGACAACATCCTTAAAAGAGCCTTGGAATGTCCTCCAAGAAGCATTTAGAGTTATTCCTAAAGACTACTTAAGGAAATTACATAAAAGCTAACAGAGGTCGTGTTGTGTTGCGAAAATACAGTTGGTCCCATGGTTTTGAGGTGGTTTAGGGTTCCTTTGTTGCCTTCCTAGTGTTTTTCCCTTCAGGTAGCCATGAGTGGATTGTCTGCCCAATGTTTGAGCCATCTCAGTTGCCACACCTCACCAAGGACTAGCTCAAGACACAACTGTCTGTCAGATCGACATGGTAATCAAGATCTCTGGTCTCTCCGTGGAGCCCTGGTCATTCCTGTCCCACCATTGCTTCCCAAGAAACATCAAGGAAGAACCTAATCTAGTTAAGACACTCCATCCTCATAATAGCTCTAGCTTCCACTGACCTTTCTCTCCTTTCCTGACAGAATTGCTGCTTGAACCGAGTCCTGAAAAAAACCATGGCGTTTGACCGCGGAATCAAGTCTTTGCTCCTTACTAAGAGAGCCTTGTGTTAATACAGTTTTTGAACAGCACTTTGTCACTTGTTGGGTTGTGCTTTAGAGTGTAAAACATTTTTAGCCAACTTTGATTTATGGCAGGCAGTCATACAAAATATTAACTTCTAAGCTCTCTAGAATTCTACAAGCTCTTTCTCTTATGTGCTGGATTTCCATGTGTGTCTACACGTTCTTTTAAACCTTGACTTGTGCTTCAGTTGTGTCAAAGCTATTATGACAAATTGTCCATGCTGATAACCCAACTGACAAAACATTTCTCTGTGCAATTTTAGTTTATATGTCTTGTTGCGTTCCCTACCTAGCTTTCGCCAAATCATAAAAAATATAATAACCTCAACATTACCGTAGACAATTACAATCTGTCAAAAGAGTTCTGCCGCATCTGAAGTACAGTTTAGATATGTGTTCAGCTGACATAGACAGTGTGAACATAATTTTGGAATGAATGGACCCTCATATATATTTTTTAGACATGCTCATATTGTGTTTATAGACACTAAGACAGTAATAACATGCAGTATACTGACTTACTGCAGTTCCCCTTGGCCCAGCCTTTCGGCCATCCCTGTCCAAAGTCCTGATTGGGCATCTTCTGATAAGATAGGCCCTGTTGCGATTGCCCTCACTCTGCTTTACACCTTGGCACGCTCCACCATCTCTGTTTGATTTCTCCAACCAGGATGGATCTTTCTGAGGGGAATGTGTACGAGAACCCAGAGCCGACCTACCAGAACCAGTCGTCAGGTGAATATGAATTGCCCTACGAGGCCCCATACGAAGATCTTTCGCATCTGACTCCTGAGTATGAAAACGCCGAAGTGGCCTCAAGAAGAATACCAGCTCCTCCTTCGATCCCGGCGCCTGAGCCTCCCGCAGAGGAGAGGCGAGGGAGCACGTCCTCTTCCTCATCCTCCTCATCGTCTTCTTCTTCTTCTCATGAGAAAGAAGAGGAGAAAGTGGAGCTGGGGAGTTCCAGTGGGGAGGAGGAGGTAGAGGAAGAAAAAGTAGAAAAAGAGGAAGAAGAGGAGAACACACAGGTAGAGCCGTTGAATGAGTTAAACTGGGAGATGGAGGTGGACAAATCACGCAGATCCTCATCCTCATCATCATCTTCATCAGCCTCTGAGAAGGAAACAGCTAAGGAGAAGCCAGTGCCCGACAAAGATGGACCAAAGGTCGTACTCTTTGTTAAGGTAGGAAAGAGAAAGGCTCAGATCAGGTGAATGTAAAATATATTGTGGCTCTACAGGACACGCACACACATACATACACGCCGTCTTCTCTTTCTTTGAACTAACTTATAGCGTCCATAAATTTCAGTCATGATTAGGTTCATATCATCATGGTGTACAAGGTCGGTGACTATCTATAGTGTGTGAATTTATGTGGAATGTGATAAAGCCACATTTGAACCTTATGCCTCTTCAGTATAAACGTCCTTCTATTAATAGGCCATATTATTTAGTCATTTCTCTGCACATGTGTTGATGTGTGCTGGAGCGAGATACTCTGATTCTAAATATAAGCTCAGTTGAACTGACGGGAATGTTCGGAGTCAGATAGTTGGGGACGGTCCCTGTCAAATGACCATGTGAAGAGTGATATGTGCATGTGTGTTACGTATACAGTGAGAGTGTGTCCATGTTCATTCGTCTATCGAGCTTATATTAGCGATAAGCATTCTAAATCCACACATGTGCTATTACACAATCAGCACATTCCACACTAAAGTCCAGTATCACTCAAGTACACAGGGATCATAAATGTTACATATTGACACTAAAGCAGCACATAGCAATATAACCCAGAGGCCACTGCAGCAGAATTAGAGAGGCCGAAGTCTGCTGCAGGCAACAACAAAGAGCCCGCAAACTAATCCCAGGTTCTCTGAACTCTTTCATTGTGAATATCCTGATTCATTTAAACTCATCCGTTTGATGCCACTTTCTCTTAGACTCATTCTAAAACCTCTAAATTAAAACATCTGAAACACGTACCTCTGGTTAGATTCAGTTTTATAATCTTTTATTTCTTTTATCTTTTGCCTGCAAAGCAGTTTGAATAACTTCTAAGGTCTGATAAGGTGCTGTCTAAATTACCTTGCACTTACATTAGCCTTGCGTTATCTTGGGAACCAAACTTAAGTCACTAGATAGCTATACACATTTAATATACAGACACAGCTAGCTAACTCTGGTTACTGTGTACACTGCTATACTCTACATTCACTTAAACCTGACTAGCTAGCATCAGTTGCTATGATTTGACAGCTAGTAAGCTAAACTTTCGATACTCATTTCTAAAGAGCACCTTTATAAAGATAACATGATAAATGATTTATTCCTTTTTTATTTTGGAAATTATTGGATTACAGACTTTAGCATACTAATACTACTAATAATAAAAATAATAATAATAATAGAAGAAACTATTTTCAGTTGCTTCCTTATTCACAAAGGGTCACCACAGTGAGTGACTCCACATGTTTGATTTCCTGACAAGGAAAGCTCCCTTGTGAAATAATAATAATGATAATAGTAACAATAATAATAATATAGATGCTCATCTGTAATTAGCTATATTAAAGGCTACATCATTGCTTTGACAGAGCAGTGAAAGTACAACGAGATAGAGTTCTCTTTATCCTTTACCTCCTGGAACATGTCCACAGGTCATTTGGAAAACTCTACATACTAATTACAAATGCTCATTTGGCAGAATAGTGTGAGGGTGTTTCCTTAATGATTTATTAGCCTGTATGATGTACAAACTTTCTGTGAGAGACCAGTCATATAGTAAAGAACGTAATGCTTAGTGTAGAAATACACTCATATTTGTCTTTCTTTTGTCAGCTGTACATTATGATTGTATACACTTTATTATTTGTGCATAAGTACCAACTCCTTACAGGGTTGCCACTTATGCAAAATGTTCAAAACAGGATACACTGGTGTGACAAAAGTTTTGAATGTAAAAATAATTTAGTTTGAAAATAAAATCTGAAATATGCCAAAAACTATTATTGTAAAAATGCCTTAAATTGGATAAAATATAAATCTGGTGTTATTCAGGTTGCACTTCTTAGTTCTATAGACATATCAAATGAGAAATCATTTTTTTGTATGTTTTTCATTTTACACTGCTGCCTAAAAATATCCCCATAGCACCACTATGCTTCACTTTAGGGATGGTAATGGCCAGGTTATGAGCAGTGCCTTGTTTCCTCCAGACATGACTTTTGGCATTTAGTCCAAAGAGTTCAGTCTTTTCTATTACAGTCCTTTAGGTGTCTTTTGACAAACTCTAGGCGGGCTATCATGTGCCTTTTACCAAGAAGTCTCACCATCTGCCATCAGGCCTGATTAGTCCAGCAGATATGGCTGTCCTCCTAGAAAGTTTCTCCTATCTCCACCCAGAAACCCTGGAGCTTTGTCAAAATGATTACCAGGTTCTCGGTCACCTCCCTTCTAGTCCCATTGCTCAGATTGCTCAGATAAAACCTGCAGGACACCAGCCCTCGAGGCCTGGACTTCCTGCTAAAATGGAGTTTTTCCTTCCCACTGTTGCCAAGTTGCTCGTTGGGGGGGGGGCGGTGTCATCTGATTGTTGTGGTTTTCTTTCTATTATGGTAAGATCTTTACCTTACAATATAAAGTGCACTGATGCAACTGGTGTTGTCATTTGGCACTACATAAATGAACTGAACTGGAATAGAAGTTTAAGCTTGTGTGCAGTCCCACTGTAATGTAATATCATCTGTATTAGAGGGCTATATCACAGGGCAAAAAATACAATTATGCCTAATATTTTCTACATCAACTTTGTACACTGTATTTAGTTATCATGTTTCTTGTTCCTGATCCCCTTTAAAACATCTTGGTCACAGGGATGAACAGCACTGATATAGGGTGCAAAACAAACCATGCACTGTGTGAGAAGCTCTCTGAATGTTTGACATCACCTTGCTGCCATGCTGACACAGACACCATGAGACCTATGGGTGGTGATGTCTGAGTCACCACAAGTCTGAGATGGTAACGATGACTCGTGATGATTCAGAATCATCCAGCTGTTGTCCATCAAAACTGTGAGAGGTGCGAGGGGCCAGGGCACCCTTGCTCTGCTCTTTCCCTACTTACTGTATTAGTACTTTCACCAACACCCCCACCCCTCCACAGAGGGGTTATTTTTGCTCAGCAATGTCACGCCCCCACGGCTAAGAACTCAGGTAGAAAACTGAGCCCCTTACAAACACACACACCACCCCCTCCACCTTCTTCCCCTCTCTCTCTCTTCGTCACTCATCCTCAGCTGACACTCTGACAGAGCTGCTGTGGGACTGAGCTGACTTTACCGAATGGACCCGGAGGAGAATCTGCTGAAAACTGAGCTGGCTCACTAACATATACACACAAACAAATACAACTGCACTGTGGAAATAAAACACGCAAACAAAGCCAGTCTTTCTTGACCATGACGGATACTGCCACCGAGGAGGACAAAGACCCTGATATTGAGCTGTTTGTCAAGGTGGGGGTCTAAATGTGTGCATTTTGGTGTGAGTACATCAACATTTGACTAACATCAAACTAATATTCGATCATTTCTTGTCTCACTTCTGAATCTAATGTTGCTGCACATTTGTTTGCATGCTGTTGATAATGTTTTTTGTTTTTGTATGACAAGTAACATTTAAGTTCAGTATGCACACATTATTATCACCTAAATAGCGAGTGTTTGGAATAGTGTTTGGTAAGGTGGGGGGTTAGCGGCTTCTTCAAGCGTGTGCATGCCATGTTGTTGTTGTTGTAGCGTGCTGATTTTCCGTGTGTTAACCTGACACCCACGTGCACAAACAATCTCTCTCTTGCTCTCTCCCACTGAATTATTACTGGGGTCCTTTCAGTATTGAGAGCAGCAGCTTTTAATAGCTGAAGGTTAAGCCACAATATCTGTTGGCATGTGGCGTAATACGCTAATGCATAACATGTATCCTTGCTACGTATACTAAGTAATACACTTTCAGCCAGAAACCCTTTAACCAACTGAGATCAAAGTTGTTGACGACTACAAACCCTAACCATAACTCTAAAAGTAACCAATCAGAATATTTACATTTTACAGTCCTCACAATCAGCAGTCAAGGAAATTATGAATTATTAAACTGTTCATGAATTTGATTCTACCTAACAGAAATAAAAATATTTTAGTATTTTTTCCCCAAAAAGTCTGTTTTTCTATTCTTCAGAATAAGAGTCATCACTAGTGATGACGAGATGACTCTAAGGCAAATTCCTCCCACTTTACAAGTTACTGACATATCTGTAAAGAGAACATTCATTTCCTTTCTGAAATGAGACCATAACATGAATGCATAACCTTTCAAGTAGTTTTCATTGTGTTACTTTACTGTTTTTTATTCCTTTATTCTATTTTTGTGAACACTTGAACATATATGCCGAGTTAAGAATAATAGAAAAAAGGAGACATTAGCTAGCCATGTAAGCTAGCACATCTCTCATCATCTCTAGAGTCCACAAATTAACATATTCATTTCATTTGTTTGAATTAACCGAGTGTCATTGTTTCTTAATTTTGTTTGATTAGTTTCTATCCAAACTGAGTCTCTAACAGATCCAGACAAACTGGTTTCCTTATTTCTGCTCTTTATGCTAAAATGAACTGACTGGCTAACTAGTAAACTTTAAGCTATCTGGTTGAGCTTTTAGCTTGTTTTGAGACTGTTAGTGGATTT